GTGTGCAGCGGAATTTTAAAAAATTTAAATCAATGCCAAAGCCAATCAAGAACATGTTCATGATGCTATATAACATAAATACTAAAGACCTAAATCATACCTTTTGAGATTTTAGGAAACTGCACATCTGACAGATCAAAGCGTTCCAAACAGCAACCGGAAAAGCATCAATCAACTGGTCTTCTTTGCTATTCTCATTTCCACGATCAAAGTGCGGGTGGTCACACGTCGTTCAATCTCCTCTTGGTATTCTTGATCTCCTTCCAATCACAAGCGAGTCAAAGAAAAAATTGTTCTTGAGAATTAAACAAATTTTCCTCTCAAGAATCTTTTATCAACAGCCTCTAAAATGTCTCTCAAGTTATCTTATGAGTAATGTGACTTAATAGGCTATTTATAGTGTTTAGGAAGTCATACTTCCATAATAATTAGGTTTCCCAAAGTCTTAATTGCATCCAAAGTTGATTTTGCCACGTTAGGATGCATTTTACGTTACAACTGGTCGACCGGTGAAAGAGTCATTATAACTCACCAGTCGACCTATCCTTCACAAATCGGTCGACCAGACCGGTCGACATGTGACCGGTCTACCCAATCGGTCGACTTGTCTGCACTTATGAAAGTTGTTTTCCTAGTTTTTCAACACGGGAAACTTGCATAGAGCCTCAGTTTTGATTCAAGCAACCCAATAGAGAAATTGCCTGATCAAAACAGTCATGTAATAGTCTTCCCATATTAAACAACTCTTAAAACAACAATTCAACCAATTTATCTAGAATTAATTGATCAATTAATTCAGCCGATAAATCACTCATGAATTAACCATTCTCATATTAACTTTGAACCTCTTTTACGGAAATAACACAAGTTACCAATATGTAGGAAATACGCCGTAACGTTATAGGAAATTATGTGAGCTAGCAAAGGGACCTGATGGACATATATAAATCAAGCTCCTATAATCACAACGCTACTTGTAAAGCAACAAGTCCGTCTCATGATTATAAAACTCTAGCGCTATTCCACTAAAAGCCTAGAGCTGCACTCTCAATTTATATAGCATATTTACAAAGCTCTGATTAGCTCTAGTCCATGACTCAATATATTAGTGTATCATCCTCATAGGATATCCATAATTGACTTGAGGTCAAGTTCCGTTTTACCTTCCCGATTACATTTATCTTATGTTCCATTATCATACCATCAGAAAAACACTATTCGTACAATTACAAACAATAAACCATTAGATAGCACAGACTAGTCTAATGGCCGAGCGCTCATATTTTCCAATCCACTGATAATGCATAAGAGGATATCATTGACTCTCTATAGGAGCTATGGATTCCACTATCTATGAATAACAAATCTACGCATACACGAGTCATACCCCCAATGTACCGGCAATCATACCTTTACATAATGTCAGGATGTCTCCCTGTAGTACATCAAAGGATACAAGTCAAGCATACGGGTTCATCATCCATCTCAGGATTAAGATGACAACATATAATTTGTCAAAAGTGACTTGTTTTATTCAAACATAATTATTAATTAAAACAAGTCAACTTTGGTCCGATCCAATATAGATTTCACCATAATAAGCCATCTCCATTAGAAAGTAGACAACATAACAATCTTAACATGAATAAAGCGCCCAACTTTATTCCCTCGATTGTGGATCATAAGATTGAGAGTATCATCTTTAGATTCTTGTCTTCTACATGTTCTTCACATTACATGCATAACCTAAAGATTTAGAGTGACAGTCTCAGACTTTCAGTTTGCTTATCATACATTCAACTATTATGAACATAAAGAGGACAATACATAGATATATGAAATAAAAAAATCTTTATTAATAGTCAAAATGTCTCAAAGAATATTGTTACATTTATTCCTAAGGGCATAAACGCTAACAATCTCCCACTTGCACTTAAGTGAGTAAATGTGACATGCTACACATCCCTATAGTCTCGACATGCTTCTCGAAGACCTTAGCCGGCAGGGCCTTCATGAACAGGTCAGCCATATTGTCCTCCGACGCGATCTTGCATATTTCCACATGCCCTTCTTCAATAAAGGTTCTTATCACGTGATACTTCTTGTCTATATGCTTACTCATTTTCTGATATCTTGGTTCTTTGGTGTTAGCTATTGCCGTACTATTATCATAGTATAGTCTTAAGGGCTTATCCACACCAGGAACTACTTCAAGATCCATCAGAAATTTGCGGAGCCACACTGCTTCTTTTGAAAGAATCAGTAGCTGCCACATACTCAGCTTCCATCGTTGAGTCAGAAGTGCAAGTTTGCTTGACACTCCTCTAAACGATGGAACCACCTCCCAGAGTAAAGACAGAACCCGAAGTTGATTTCCTAGAATCCAAACAGGATTGAAAATCCGAATCTGTATATCCTAGAGGTGTCAAATCCTCCTCAGAATATACCAGCATATAATTTCTAGTCCTCCGAAGATACTTGAATATATGCTTGACCGCTACCCAGTGGTTAGGTCCTGGATTTGACCGATATCGACTTACAATCTCGACCGCATGGAAAATATCCAGTCGAGTATAAAGCATTACATACATGAGGCTCCCGACCGCCGAAGCATAAGGTACCTTTGCCATGTATTCTCTTTCCTCAGATGTCTTGGGACAATCACTGTTCAAAAGAGTAATTCCAGACCTAGATGGTTGCCCACCTTTCTTGGAATTCTGCATTGCATACTTCTTGAGAATTTTATCTATGTATGAAGCCTGAGAGAGAGCTATCATTTTGTTCTTTTAATCTCTTAAGATTCGAATGCCTAGAACGTAATTAGCTTCTCCTAAGTCCTTCATGTCAAACTATTTGGTAAGCCAAACTTTGATTGATGACAATGCCCCTACATCATTGCCAATGAGTAGAATATCATCAACATATAACAGTAGAAAAACCACTTTCCCATCTTGAATATGCTTATAAATACATGGTTTATCCATATTCTGTTGGAATCCAAAAGTCTTGACCACTTGGTCAAATCTTTTGTTCCAAGAACGGGAAGCTTGCTCTAATCCATAAATGGATTTCAGCAACTTACAAACTTTTCCCTCTTGACCCTTAGCCCCAAAGTCTTTTGGTTGTACCATATAGATACTTTCCCCAAGATGGCCGTTCAAGAATGCCGTCTTGACATCCATTTGCCAGATCTCGTAGTCGAGAGCAGCCGCAATGGATAAGAGAATGCGGATGGACTTAAGCATGGCTACAGGTAAAAAGGTTTCCTCGTAGTCAATTCCCTCCTTTTGCGTGTATCCCTTAGCTACCAGTCTAGCCTTATAGGTTTCAACCTTTCCTTCTGCATTTCTCTTTCTCTTGTAGACCCATTTACACCCAATGGGCTTAATCCCATCAAGAAGATCTACAAGTTCCCAGACTAGATTAAAAGCCATAGATTTCATCTCAGCTTTCATGGCTTCTGTCCAGAGGTTTGCATCAACATCCTCCATAGCTTATTTGTAAGTATAAGGATCTGTGTCATGTTCCAGAGATTCTGCCAAAAAGGTTTCCTTATTAGCCATGAATCTCTCAGGTTCATGTCTGATCCTCCCACTACGCCGAAGCCCCTTAGGTTGTTGTTGGGTTTCCTTTTCTACTCTGATTGGACCGGTTTCCAAAGGAACAGTCAGTATGACCAAGTCACTCGACATTTCCTAAAGCACCATTTTGCTACGAGGCTTAAAGTCATTCATGTAACTTTCCTCAAGGAATGTTGCATTCGTTGAAACCACGACTTTATTTTCCTTGGGGTTATAGAAATACCCCCGTTTCATCCTTCTTGGATAACCTATAAAAATGCACACTTCTGAAAGTGCTTCTAACTTTTTCGCTTCTGTGTCTAGGACATGCACAGGACATCCCTATATGCAAATATGGTTCAAACATGTCTTCCTGCCCGTCCACAACTCGTGAGGAGTTTTAGGAACCGACTTTGTTGACATGTTATTCAGAAGATAACATGCAGTTTGCAAAGCATATCCCCAAAAAGATATAGGCAATGTCGAATACCTCATCATGGACTGTACCATGTCCAACAAGGTCCTATTTCTTCTCTTAGCTACACCATTCTGTTGTGGAGTGCCAGGTGCAGTTAAATGGGATAGAATCCCATTCTCTAATAAGTATCCAGTGAACTCATCAGAGAGGTATTCTCCACCTCGATTGGATCGAAGTGCCTTTATGAGTTTACCCAGTTGCTTTTCCACCTCCGCCTGAAACTCCTTGAATTTATCAAAAGTTTCACCTTTGTGGCGCAATAGGTACACATAAGCATATCTTGAGTAATCATCGATAAAAGTGGTGTAATACTCATACCCTCCTCTTGCCTTGATGTTCATGGGACCACAAACATCACTATGCACAAGTTCAAGATCATCTTCAGCCCTATTGCCCTTAGACCCAAATGGTCTTTTGGTCATTTTGCCCTCCAAACAAGATTCACTTTGGGGTAAGGACTCAACCTTTAAAAAACTTAAAGGTCCATCCTTTACCAACCTATGTATCTTGGTAAGGCTAATGTGACCAAGTCGCAAATGCCAAAGATATGTCTCATTAGAGTGAGAAGTTTTAAGCCTTTTAGAGTTATTAACAACTTCAGTGTTTAGCAATGAGTCCATCTTAGGTTTGATAAAATATAGATTATTTTGCATCCATCCATCACAGATAAAAGACTTGTTTTTACAAATCACAACTTTATTATTGAAAGAAACTAAATAAGAATCCTTAAATAAACAAGCAACAGAAATAAGATTCCTCTTAAATTAAGGAACATAAAAATAGTCTCACAAAAATAAACTCCTATAACTATCAAAATAAAGATGGACGTCTCCCACTGCTTTAGTGAACACTAGTATTCCATTGCCCATCCTCAATGTGAAGCTCTCATTTAGAAGACTTCTCGTTTGCTTGAACCCCTGCAGAGAAACACACACATGATTAGTTGCTCCAGAATCTATGACCTAGTTGTCACTGGATTCCTCAACCATACATGCTTCCACAATCAAAAGATCACACTCACCTTTTTTGCCTTTAGCGGCTAGGTAGTCTTTGCAATTCTTCTTCATGTGCCCCACCTTCCCGTAATGAAAGCAGTTAAGCTTGTTCGGGTTCTTCTTGTTCTTGTTCTTGCCCTTGTTTGGCGGAACTGAAGAACTCTCCTTCTTAGCTACTTGCTTCTTCTTTCCATTCCCTAGAGAGGGTTTGGAGGTAGATGCCTCAGCAAAGTTGGCCTCCACAATAGTCGAAACCTTGATCATTCGCTCAAACTTTTGGAGTTCTTGCATCAACTCTGTCAAGGTTGTATTATGTCTAGCGCTCAAATTGAACGTTGCCCTAAACGGAATATACTCCTTCAACAAAGTCTCAAAGATCATGGTCAATTGAGACTCAGCATTGATGTTAGCCCCATTGGTCTGAACTTTAGCCAAATAGCCCATCACTTTCAGCATATGTTCCTTTATGGAAGACCCAGCCTTCTGTCTGTAGTTAATGAGGTTACTTATGGCTTCCTGACATTTTTCAATGGCTTGGCCACCGAACATGTCCTCAAGATTATCCATAATCTGATGAGCAGTTATGTAATCTTCATGTTGTGCTTGTAGCACAGTGGACATGCTCGCCATCATGTAATAGTGAGCCATATAGTCAGAGTCCTTCCAGTGTTAATACGCTACGAAAACCTCATTAGGAGCATCACCAGGTGGCTCCTGAGGACAAGGTATATTCAGTACAAAATTTAGTTTCTCAAAGGTTAGGACGATCTTTAGGTTCCTTTTCCAATCGGTAAAATTCTCGCCAGTTAAAGTGTGTTTATTAAGTATCGATGATAATGCGCTAGAAGACATTTTGATCTACAATAAACATTCATATATCTAGTATAAGCAAACTGGCATCAACATTTAGTAATCAAATATATATACATATTATAATGCAACAAATATGTTTGTGTGTCAAAACCTTGAAAAAATCACAACCTCACAACGATAATTCCCAACTCAAAATTTTGGAAGTCTCCTAGGGGCGATCATGCAAAATTTAATTAGGAACACGGATCCCTTCCGATCAATATATACCATCCGGATCAATCTCTGTCCAGCATATATTGATAATCGTTTTCTTTGGCAATTAATTTAATTAGCAGAGATGCTAGGGGAGATTAATAATTAAATCAATCTTGAGTGTATACCATCGCTTCAACTATTTGATCCATATTTTATAATTGTCACCTAGGGGTGTACAACCATAAAATATGCTCAAATAAATTATCCTCTCGGAGATCCACACCGGTACATAATGAATCCCTTCCTAGGGGTCGGTATCACCATGTGTTACCTGCGGACCAACGATGGAGGCCATGGGTCTTTTCTTCAAAAACCTTCACCCACTCAATCTTTTGGAAAACAAGGTTTTATGTTAAAAAATATGCATGAACAATTTTAATGAGCGGCACTCCCTATTCTACATGACATGTTATCACATATATAGCAAATCATATTATATGCAATCATACAAAGTAATTAAGCTAGGCAACAAGCATAATAATAATAGCCGTAATATTATGGTTCCAACCTAGAGCAAAGAAAAAATAAAGATTACTAAGAATAATCAAAACAGATATAAATCCTTCATCTTGAATCTTCCCGGTTGTCCTTGAATTCTTCATCACGATCAAATTCTGGTTATCATAAAATTATTTTTCATGTTTTCTTGAAAAAATCTCAAAAAACTGTAAAATCGTATACTGTCATGTTAGGTCCGGTCGACCGGACACAGAACAGTTATACTCAACCGGTCAACCACCTGACACTAACTGGTCAACCGGAGCGGTCGACCAGTGTTTGTACGACAATAACCTAGATTTTCAGAAATCAAAGCAGTTTTTTAATTTATTCAAAAAATACAAAAGAATTTTATAAACCAAGAAAAATTAGATACATTTATATCCTTCATCTTCAAGATCCTTCTTCAAGATCCATGATAAATCTCCTCCAAGAATTTTTACATGAAAAATTCCTATACCGTTTTCTGGCTTACAAAATTTCTACGAAAGAAAATAAAATAAACCCTAATGGCAATGATAGACCATATATCTAATTACATTGTAATGAACAAATTCCTATACAACCATTCTAAACTCTAAGGAACCATAACCGGTAAAAATTAAATAATAAAAAACAATTGATAATTTATAAATAATAATCAATAATAATTATTTAATCATGAATTCACCATATATTCATGATAACAACATAATATAGAAACCCTAGAGTGCCATCTCTCTAAAATATCAATTCAAGCATAAAAGAGATATTTTTAGATCACAAATCTATGTACGTAGCATAATCATGAACAAATAACCATGGCTCTGATACCAATTGTTAGAAAATAATGACATCGAGTGTGCAGCAAAATTTTTAAAAATTTAAATCAATGCCAAAGCCAATCAAGAACATGTTCATGATGCTATATAACATAAATACTAAAGATCTAAATCATACTGTTTGAGATTTTAGGAAACTGGACGTCTGACAGATCAAAGCGTTCCAAACAGCAACTGGAAGAGCCTCAACCAATTGGTCTACTTTGCTATTCTCGTTTCCACGATTGGAGTGCGGGTGGTCACACATTGTTCAATCTCCTCTTGGTATTCTTGATCTCCTTCCAATCACAAGAGAGCCAAAGAAAAAATTGTTCTTGAGAATTAAACAATTATTCCTGTCAGGAATCTTTTTATCAATAGCCTCCAAAAAGTCTCTCAAGTTATCTTATGAGTAATGTGACTTAATAGGCTATTTATAGTGTTTAGGAAGTCATACTTCCTTAATAATTAGGTTTTCAAAAGTTTTAATTGCATCCAAAGTGGATTTGGCCACGTCATGATGCATTTCACGTTACAACTGGTCGACCGGTGACAGAAACATTGTAACTCACCGGTCAACCTGTCCTTCATGAACCAATCAACCGGACCGGTCGACCTATGACCAGTCTAACCAATCAGTCGACCTATCTACACTGACGAAAGTTGTTTTCCTAGTTTTTCAACACGGGAAACTTGCATAGAGCCTCAGTTTTGATTCAAGCAACCCAATAGAGAAATTGCCTGATCAAAACAGTCATATAATAGTCTTCCCATATTAAACAACTCTTAAAATAATAATTCAGCCAATTTATCTAGAATTAATTTATCAATAAATTCTCCCGATAAATCACTCATGAATTAACCATTCTCATATTAACTTTGAACCTCTTTTACGGAAATAACACAAGTTACCATTATGTAGGAAATACGCCGTATCGTTATAGGAAATTATGTGAGCTAGCAAAGGGACCCAATGGACATATATAAATGAAGCTCCTCTAATCACAATGCTACTTGTAAACCAACAAGTCTGTCTCATGATTATAAAACTCTAGCGCTATTCCACTAAAAGCCTAGAGCTGCACTCTCAATTTATATAGCATATTTACAAAGCTCTAATTAGCTCTAGTCCATGACTCAATATATTAGTGTATCATCCCCATAGGATATCCATAATCGATTTGAGGTCAAGTTCTGTTTTACCTTCTCGATTACATTTATCTCATGTTCCATTATCATACCATCAAAAAAACACTATTCATACAATTACCAACAGTAAACCATTAGATAACATAGAGTAGTCTAATGGCTGAGCGCTCATATTTTCCAATCCACTGATAATACATAAGAGGATATCATCGACTCTCTATAGGAGCTATGGAATCCACTATCTATGAATAACGAATCTACGCATACACGAGTGATGACGGGTATTTTTACCAACAAATCAAGTACTTTTAAGCTTGAATATTTGTAAGTTTTCAAGCATTATTATTAGTTTAATGTATTTTGTGTGCTTTTTATAGGAATTATAAATAAATGCAAACTTGGATGATTTTGCATGAAGAAAAGAGAGCAAGAAATCAACGCATCCAGGGAGAGCCCTGTATGCTGCAGTGCACCCAATGGGTGCTACAGCTCGCCCAGAGGCCTGGCCGTGCACTGCAATGCGTCCAGTGGGCGCGGCAGTGCGCCCAGAGGCCTTGCCACGCGCCTAGAGGCCTTGCCACCCGCCCAGAGGCCTGGCCGCGCACAGTTTGTAAAATCTAATGATATGATATATACACAATTTTTGCATCACATTAACATAATCTTTCTCTAGAAATCCAGTGCATCCATAACACAAGGCAAAGTGCTCAAAGTTAAGAAAAAGTCACAATCTTTGAACAAAAAAATCAAGTGAATTCCAAAACAAAAAGTTGAGAAAAGAATACTTTTCTAAAAACTATGCTCAATCCAATAATTATCATCATAGGTCCTAGAGAATTCACCACAAAACACACCAAACAACAAGGAAAACACAAGACACTTTTTTTTTTTCCAAAAGAAACAAAGACAAACAAGTGTTTCCCCCAAGGAAACTCCCCTCGTTGGTGATTGGGCATGATGGCAAGTTAGCTCCCTTGATGTGTAAATCCTCCTAGTCCCTTCCATTGCTCCAAAGCTTGACCCTACAAGAGAAAAACACCAAAGTAAAGTAAAAAGTTCCTAGAAAATTCAAAATTAACACAAAAAAGACTCAAATAACCACAAGAAAAAGATTAGAGAAATTGGGTTGCCTCCCAACAAGCGCTTTCTTTAATGTCTTTTAGCCGGACATTTGGAGAAGAGCTCATCAAAGATCGGCTTCCACCCATAGTAAGTGTCATAAAACACTACAAATTGGTCTTGGTTGTGGCTGCCCTCAAGCTTGGCAAGATGTGGAAATATGTGGTACGTAAGTTCAACTTGGCTTGATTTCGGAGCATGTGCATGATGGACACCAAGGTACGATGTTAATGCTTGTGGAGGAGTTGGCGGCCACATTGGATCTTCGTACACATACTCTTGCATGACCGGTGGCACAATAGGTTGAGACTCGAAGACTTCTCCTCGCGTTCCCGCTTCAATGGTGAAGTATTGGTTCACTTCGTTGGTCAAAATAGAATCCAAGACATTAATGGCTAATTTTTCATTTTGTTGTTCTGCCTTGCATTGCTGCAGCATTGCTGTAACATCCTGTTCCGCAGCAAAAATTTTCAGCTTTAAGTCTCCCACTTCATCTTCGTTGCTCTCTTCTTCATGGATCAAAGGGGGCTCTTGTTGTTGTTTAGGCTCATCCATAGGCATGTCAAATTCTTTCCCACTCCTCAAAGTGGTTGCTTCACCATAGTCCTTGCCTTCTTGCCTAGGATTCTCCATGTCATTTAGAAATGAACCTTGAGGACGATTATTTAATACATTCACTAGTTGTCCTACTTGATTCTCCAAACTCCTCAACAAAGTTTCTTGGCTTTGAAGGATGGCATCATTCGTTGCTATAGCATCCCTTAACAAGCTCTCAATGGAACTTGAGTTTTCATGAGGGTAGGTGTTAAAACTTGGCTCCACATTGTTGTAATTGTCCTCCCAACCATGGTTGGTCATTGAGCAATCCCAATTCCACTTGTCATACTCCGCCATGTCTTCCAACATCCAATAGGCCTCATCCACAGATAGTTGGTAGAAAGTGGTGGTACCATCTCCCCTTTCCACCCAATTTCTTGTCGTGGCACATAACCTATTGAGAAAGACTTCAAGTTG